ACAAATCTAAGGTCATAAATAGGGGACATGTGTCCTTTTTTTGAGACAGAGTCTCACTTTTGTTGCCCAGGCTAGAGTGAGTGCCGTGACATCAGCCTAGTTCACAGCAACCTCAAACTCCTGGGCTCAAGCAATCCACCTACTTCAGCCTCCCAAGTAGCTGGGACTACAGGCATGCCCCACTATGCCAGGCTAATTTTTTTTTCTATATATGTTAGTTGTCCAATTAATTTCTTTCTATTTATAGTAGAGGCAGAGTCTCGCTCTTGCTCAGGCTGGATTCGAACTCCTGACCTCGAGCAATCCGCCCACCTCGGCCTCCCAGAGTGCTAGGATTACAGCCGTGAGCCACCGCGGCCAGCCTGGGACACGTGTCTTGAACCTGGCATTCTTGTCTGGTTGGTTGATCCTTCGCTCGCGTTCTTGGGAGTTTGCAGAATAGACACATGGGATTGTGACCATTTTATAGTTTCAGGATAAATCATTTCTATTTCCTTTTTTGTACCTTTATGATCTTTTAAGTGGATTTCAGAGACAAAGAGGAGTTTTGGAAGTTTGAATGTTTTGTACATTCAAAATCTATTTTATAAAGTGAATAGTAACCCCCCTTTTTTTTGCTGTTCTGTAATTTTAGTTATACTGTCTTTAAAGTTAAAACTACTTCGTACATGGAATTGCTTCCTTTTTCATATTCAATTAGCAGTGGGCACAAATCTGTAATATATTTGAAGAGATATCCTCCCCCCCCACACACACGCAAGGTCATTGATTTCTTTAAGTTATTTCTACTTTTATTTCTATTCTATGATTTATTGAAAATATGTAGCCTTGACCATACTATTCTTATAAATTTTCTCCCCAAGGAGTAGTTGAATGTTATAAATGTGCTATTGTCTTGCAGTCCTCACAAATCTTTAATATTACAAGGACCAATCAAGTAGTCTGGAAACATCAGAAACCATCCTTTCTAAGCATAGGTAAAAAATGTCACCCAAGTGAAGGAAAAGATTCTCTGGTTCATCAATTTTCAGTGTTCCTCACAGTATTCCTCTTTTTTCTTATATTGAGAACTCTGACTCATATATACCAGTGAGATATATCTGTATGTATACATATATGATGTATATGTGTATACACCCTTTACACATATATATTTACATAGTATGTGAGTATATATATGTGTATACACCATATACACATATATATACTTATGTAGTGTGTAAGTATATATCCATATACTTATATCTATATATAGATATGGTATATTGAAATATTCACTCACTGGTATATAGGAGTGGAAATAATATAAAGAAAAAAAGGAATGATATATATCAGTATATGTATATATACTATGTAAATAGTATAGTGTATATGTTTACATAGTATATATACATATGTATGTATCAAGTGTTAAGTAGACACTTGATATTTGGGATTCATACTTATGAATCCCAAAATCTGTGTCTATGGAAATCTTACACATTTCTAGTTTTCCCCCAAATCATCTTTTTTGTTGAAAGTCACTTGTTTCCTAACTATAAAACCTTATACCCCAAATCAGAAATCTCTTCTACTTTCAGGAAGATTTTAATGGCTTTAACATTTTTATATACCGAAACTTTCCAATCATTTTTTTTAAAGTTATTTTATAAAAGGAAGGGAATTCATGATGATGAATAAAGAATACCAGAGGCCAAATGGGAGGCATATGCTGGGTGGACTGGGAGAGTGGGGTAGGTTCCACACTGATCACCGGCTTGGGAGCAGCTTCTGCACATGAGCCCGGGTTTATGTTTGGATTCTCCTGGTCTCAGGTGCATCTCAAATTACTACATGACACAGATCTTTGGGGTTGCCAGTCAAACCTGTAAATGTTAAGTTACCAAAATGCCCACTTTTCCAGCAGTGGTTCTGTGGCTAATAATATTTAAGGAATCATGTTTTTGTCAGGTTCCTTTCTCTCTCAAGCTTAAGCAAGATAATTCATATCTTGCCAACCCAAGTCTTAACTTACAAAGCTTACAGTAAAGTTCCCTACTGTCAAATTTTAACACGGGGCTCGGAATTCCCATTGCGAATTTACACTTGGTTTTCCAATTAAAATGGGCTTTTGTGACTCCCCTGCCTATAGCCATTGGCTTGATAAAAAGTATCTTCATTTGCAGCCAGTGTGTTTAGGGAACCCAGTGCAGGGCTGACTCTTCTGTTGTTGCCTTGAGCCCAGCTGTGCTGAAATATTAAACTTTAGTAAATTAGGTGAAATTGCAGCTTCCTGGCTGATACAATAATGCCTTTTTCTTTTCCTGCAAACCGTCTTCAGCGTGAGTTGTCTGCACAGTTCTTCTACACTAAGAGAAGCAGAATTCAGAATCTCTTCCAAATCCAGACAACTCTTCCATTTTCAGGATAATTGTGCCATATCCCATTTATTTTACAGAGGGCTTAAACTTTCAAATATGTAGAATTGGATTACTATATTATTTTAGCACTATCTGAATATAGCATTGCATTATTATATCATACTTAGATGAAGCAACTGGATCCCTAAAAATGTGGGTCTTGTATAAAAGTAGCAGCTTTTTATTTTTTGATTAGAACTTATTTTAACAGCAATGGTGAGCTATAGAAGGAAAGAATATTTTCAGTCACATTTATTTTTAGGTTTTTGCTCCTTTTTCTCTCTAAGAATAGCACTAGTTCTGAAGTATTTTTATTCATTCACCAAACATTTATTGATCAATTACTATGTGCAAAGTTCTGGTTTGTTTTCAACCAAATATTTTTGGAATAAATGCAGAATTAGCAGAAAGGGACTAGGCATCCTTCTATCTCTCTTCGTGATATATGTTATTTTTCTTGTGACAAAACCACTGGTGACAGCTTTATTTAGCTGCCTGGCCTACTTGTTCCCCAAAGGCTCTCACTTTGGCCTCTTTTAGGTTAAGAACTTTATGCTTCTAGGAGACTTCAGTCGAAATATAACTTTTTTTATTACTTGGGAAAGTTAACTCATTAAAAGCTTTTCAAAGTATCTTTATCAAGATACTCCCAACACAGTAAAGTCCAAGGGTTGCTTTTGGAAAAATCTCAAACCTATACAAAAATAAGGTGGATAACCTTAATGACCCTTCATATAAGCACTATGGGGTTAAAACCTACGGAGATCTCTCAGTGAGGGCTTGGATAGTCGGTGGGTCATGTGTGGACGGGATAGCTTAGGGCTGAAAGGGTTGAGGCCCACTTCTAAATTAGAGGGCCAGACTCTATCACATTGTCATTGGTTCACTGTCCTGTAATAAAAGAGATGCTAACCAATAAATGAGATACTAACCAGTATGATCTAGACCTGGGTCTGTGTGTTAGTTACAGCTGCTGTACAAAAATACCTTAGACTTGGTGGCTGAAACAATAGAAATTTACTTCTCATGGTTCTGAATGGTAAGAAGGTAAAGATCAGGGTGCCAGCATGGTCAGGTCTTGGTGAGGGCTTTCTTCCTGGTTGGCAGACAGCTTCCCCCTTGCTGTGTGTTCACACTGCAGAGAGCAGAGACAGAGAAAGCAAACTCCCTCCTGCCTTTTGTTATAAGGGCACTAATTCCATCATGAGGCCTCCCCCCTCATGACCTAATCACCTCCCCAAGGCCCCACCTCCAAATACCACCACATCACATTGAGGGTTAGGGTTTCAACCTACAGATTTGGGGGGGAAGAGCGGGGACATACATTCAGTGCATAGCATTGTTAAAAGGAAAATCTTAGACAAATTAAATTTAGCAGAGTTTATTTGAGCACAGGATTCATGAACCAGGCAGCACTCATAACCAGAGGAGGTTCAGAGAGCTCCACCCAACAGTATGAACAGGAAACTTTTACAGGTGGTAGACAGAGCATAGACACATCACCCGATTGTCTGTAGCTGGGCAGCTGCCTTATTTGGGCACTGAGCGAGGAGTCATTTGCCCTATGTGGGCATAGTGTAATGAGTTTGCTGTCTGTGATTGGCCTGAACTCAACTGTTTGTTACAGCCTAATTTAGGTTTTGGTTTGTTAGGTAGGAGTTGAAAGTACAGAGACAGCCTCAGTCTAATGACTTCTTAGTTAACAACAGTGTGCAAGCTTTTTCTGGAAAAGTATCAGATAGGAAATATTTTAACCTTTGTGAGCTATACCATATCTGTCACCACTACTCAATTCTTCCCCTGTCGTGCAATATAGTAGCCATAGATCATACAGCCATCTCTAGTCATCGATCATAGCAAGTCATGGGCATAGAGGTATTCCAAAAGAACTATTTACAAAAACAGGCAGGGGTGGAATCAGCCAGCATGGAGTATTAATAATTTGCTCACCCCTAAAGATTTCCCAGTCCCTGGTATCAATTCGCTGTCCCTCTGATTCAGGCTTTAAGTAGGCGGAGGTGACTGTTTCTGTTCAGTGTCATGATCCACCTAACAACTCCCAAGTCCCCAGCAGCCTTTATGTGGGGAGGCTCCAGCAGAGGGACTCTACAGTTTTGAAAGTTTTTGAAGTGGGTCCTTTCTCCTGTCCCCTTTCGCCCCTCGAAGCCCTCGCGCTCGGTGGGCCGAGTTGCGGTGTGATTGACTGCGGTGGCTGCGTAGGCTTCCCAGGAGACTCGCGGCCACTCAGGACAAGGTGAGGGCGCAGAAAAGTTGGAGCCCAATCAGCACGGAGTTGGGCTTCCGCGCCCCAACCTTCAGGTGACCCCGCGCGGCGGCGGCGGTGGCAGCGGCGCGGCGGCGGCGACCAGAGACCAGAGCCCGCAGCAGCTCGGAGCGCCTCCGGGAGGCCAGGTGGCGAGCCGGGCGAAGCGTCATCTGCCAGCGAGCGCCGGGCTCGGAGCTGGGCGGGAGCAGCGAGCGGGCCGGGACGCGGCCGCTGCCTGTCCCCGCCGAGACCGCGCGGGCTGCGCTGACTGGCGGCGCCCGGGTGTGCGGGCCCGCGCCGCGCGCTGTCGTCGCCCCTCGCCGCCGCCCGTGAACCCTGGGGGTGTGCGGGGCTGCGGCCGCGGTGGCAGCAGCAGCGGCGGCGGCGGCGGCGAGAGCGGCGAGTCGGGGCCGCCCGGGCTGCGCTTCGCCCTGGCAGCAGCGGCGGCCGCGCCTGGGGCTCAGGATGCGGCCGGGGGGCGCGCTGCTCGCCCTGCTCGCCAGCCTGCTGCTGCTGCTGCTGCTGCGCCTGCTCTGGTGCCCGAACGACGCGCCCGCCGGCTCCAGGTAACCCCCGGCCCCCGGGCGCCCAGCCACTCCTGCGCCCCGCCGTGCGCCCCACGGTGCGCCCCGGGGACCCCAGCCGCCGGTCGCCTCGACTTGGGCGCTCGGACTTTCGGCCACCGAGGGACAAGCCAACGAGAAGCGGCGGCGGCCCGAGGGTGGGGTGGGGTGGGACGGGACAGGGGGCCGCAGAGAGGCGACACTTGGAGCAGCCGGCAGCTGCCGGGGTGTAGAGGGGGCTGGTCAGGGTGGGTAGCGATCCAGCGCACGTCGCGGTGGGCAACGGAGCTGCGGAGCCGGACCTGCCGTCGGGCTCCTCAGCAAGATCTTGGGCTCTCCATTCCGTTCCCCGGTTTGTCTTCCTTCCCGCCCTAAGGCTCTTCCAATCTGGGCTTTGGGACCTGGCCCTGGGGCCCGGGATCGCGAGGATGCCCCGCTATGCCAGGCTTGGAGAGCGACGCCCAGCCTGCCAGCCAGCGGCTCCCTGCGCGGTGTGGCAACTTAAGTTTTCTCCCTGGCTGTGCAGGCTCTCGGTGGAGGAAAGCAGGGAGGCCACCCACGGCACCCCCGCGGCGCTGAGGACCCTCCGGAGCCCCGCGACCCTGGCACCGCGCACCACGAACGGGTACCCGGGCGCCCAGCGGCGGGCGGGCGGGCGGGAGCTTGGGGATCGCGGGCTGCACTGGCTGGACTCGCTTCCACTGATCTGCCTGGGACGACACAGTTGACACGATTGAGTGAGCGCGAGTGTGTGTGTGTGTGTGTGTGTGTGTGTATGAGTGTGTGTGTGAGAGAGAGAGAGAAGGTGGGGGCCACCTTCCCACTCCATCAGCCTTTTAAAACCTGTTCCTCGATGTGCACGTTCTCTGACCCAAGAGACATACAACAGCTGCACTTAAAAAGTGGGTGCTGAGTTCTCCTCTTGGTAACAGCGTGTTGAAAACCCCGGAGAGAAGCAGCTCAGCCTGTCTTTACTGAGGGATTTGGTTGGTTTGCTTTTTGTTTTCTACGCTTTAAAGTGCACCAGTGTTAGGATTCAGGCTTGGAGGACTGGAATTCTTGTGCTGTGTATGTTTTTGTTCTTAGTAAACGGAGACTTAACATTTTTTTTATCATTCATATGAATATTTATCCATGTGCAATACTTGTTTGGTTTTTATAATTCTTTTCTGATTGTAAAAGTAATGCAGCTTTGTGTAGAAAGTTAGACAATAGGATAAATATATAACAGAAAATAATATTCATTCAGGGTTCTACCACCCAGAGACCATATTCAGGTTGGCTTTGGTCTGTATTTTTCCAGTAGTCTTTCCTATATGCATATATTTTTAAAATATAGTTAATAGTATACTTTGCAGTTTGTGGTCTGCTTTTTTCCCTAAAAAAAATAGACCTATACCTGCCATTAATTTTTTTTCCCCAAAACATTGCTTTTGATTGTTGCATAATTTGATTTATCAATTCACCTCTTTCTAATTTTAGACCTTTAGCTTTGGCTTGTTTCCATTTTGTGCTTTTTTTGTTGTTGTTGTTATCAATAATTCTATTAAATCCATCCTTGTATATAAATCTTTATCTTCATTTCAAATTAATTACCCAGAACGGACTGACAGAAGTTGGATTATTAAGTCAAAGAGTATGTCCACATATTAGGTTCTATGTCATATCGCCAATTGCTTCCTTGAAGGGTTGAATCAATGTACGTGTTCACCGGCAGAATGTTATTATTGCAATCTTGTACACTGCCTCTTTTCTTCTTTTTTTCTCTCGTGAATCCCTTTTTCTCCGTGTGCCCTTCTGTATATTCCTGGCTCTTGGATTACTGTGACTCAAGGATTTCTTTTCTGTGGCCCCAGCATGGCTCCAAGAAGGGTCTGGAAGTGCCTGGAGGAATCCGGGAAGTGGGAAACACCATGTCCTGCCCCATCTCCCTCATTGGAATGTCACAGTGTGTTAGAGGCACTAAGAAATCCTATAGTGACAAAAGCTTTTGAGAAAAATATTATCCCATGGTTTTCATTTATTTCTCAGGTTTGCGAGATGAACTGGGAGCATCCTATCTTTTCTCAAGCCCTCTGACTGTTGCACATTTCTAGGATTGCCCCATGGGAAAGTTTGAAAGAATGTACTCATTAAATGATTTGATCCTAGGTCTTTTTGGAGGCAATCCTTTAATGAATTTTTCAGTTCCTTTGATCATACTCCTTTTCTACTTGGCATACTTCTTAGCTAATATAGGTAATTCATTTTTTTTTCCCTGAATGTGGCCCATTTTATTACGATTTAAAAATGTATACCATTCTCCTGTGTTTGTAAAAGCCTCTTTGTCTTTTGGTATATTTTGTGTCCCATTTATCATTAGTTATTTTGATTATTTGGGGAACAGAGGTGCAAATTTTAATCTACAATACTATTTTGGTTATGTAAAACAATTGCGATTTCTTCATTTTTCTGTAGCTGGTCTGATCTTCCTCCATGAGCCCACGCTCTAGGTAATGATGGTTTTAGGGATAAGGAGAGCTAACACTTAATGAATTCTTCCTATTGACTGATCTAAGCACTTTACATTTAACTCATTTAATCCTTAAAAAAATACTTAGAGAAACTATTATTATCCTGAGTGTATAGATGAAGAAATGGAGGCACAAAGCAATTAAGTAAATGGCCCAAAGTCACAGAGTTAACAAACTGTGGAGCCAGAGTTCAAACCTAAGTTATGCAGATTCAGAATCCCACATTCCTAAGTTCCCTGCTGTGCAGCCTGTCACAGGTGCTGTGAAAGATGGTGTGTATGTGTGTGTGTGATCAAAATGTTCATTCCACATGAAAACTTAGATGTGACAATTTAAGCAACTCTTTCTGTTAATATTTATTCTCTCTGGGAGCACATGCCTGGATTCTCAGATTGCTTCTACCATCTCTTCTCACTTTAAGATGACATCCAGGTATGAGGGAGGGGGCCTTAGATAATGTGCGGTTATTGTTTAGAGATGTGGTTCATGGCCATGCTATCCTTTAACTCCTCTAACTTCAGAGTGATGTTGTCCCTTTTCCATCTGGTGGCTGAGCACCCTGTTGATGGTCAATTATGAGATCCGCAGCTTGTGGTTTTTTGCACCTGCTGCTACTCCCTGCCTGTCTTGGCCTTATGTGGGATCCCACTGATGGGATCCCCCACTCAGGGATCTGAGTAAGATTCTCTTTTGGTCCTATCTTGGGTTGTTACTCTGCAACATTGCTATGGCACTGTCTCACTCAACTCTAGGTAGCTAGCTCCATGGCCAGTTCCTTAGCTATTTCAGGGCCCCACCTAAATATATAAGAACCAAGGTTGGTACAGGAAACTAAATATCAGGGCCTCACTCTACTTGCCCCTTCTCTAAGTTATTTCACTGCCCAAGAGGTGATCAATTTCCAGAATCCTAATAGAAGGAGGCAAAGCCCCCTCTGTCCTTATTATTACCCTTGTTATTGCTCCCCCTTTTCTCTCTCCAAGCCTAAACTGTCTTCTTCCTTTCTCTCTCTTCTCCTGCTACTTATTCAATTCCAGAAATGTTCAGGCTTTTCTCTGCCACATATTTTTTTTTGCCATAATGCAAACCTTCAGGTAAATTGTGGGACCAGAGGAAAAGGATTGCGAAAACTAAAGGGTCTGTGTCTTCCAGATAAGGTGGTTAATGTGCTAAAGAGGGAGAATGAGACACATTTGGAAAATCTGCAGCAAATTCTATTTTGCTCATCTAAAGTCTACCTTATTCTTTTTCTTTGCATTCTTTCAGTAAAAAGTCTTAAGCTCTCCCTCCTCCCCAGAAATATGTTTCAAATTGGGTAGGGGAAGTTCATGTTCTCAGAAAGACAAAAGAGAAAAACATACCAATAGTTTTTAAAATATGACCTCATTACAATGGATTATTTTTCTTTCTAGTAAGCTTTATCAAAATCTTTTATTGGTTTGCTTGTTTTTCAGATGACCAGCTCTAGGATTTATTTCTCAATTCAGATAAATTTCCATGTTCTATTTTCTTTGTGTTACTTTTACCTTTTCAAGTATTCTCTCCCCCCCCCAGATTAATATCTTGAAGTTAGACTTGATTTCTTTATGTTGTTTCCTCCTTTTTTTAAATAACAGAAATATTTAATACTATGAATTTTCCTTTGAATGCAGCTTTGGATTCATTTCTTAGGTTTGGATACATGTTTAGATTTTAAAAAATATATTCTAAATTGTTTATATTTACATTGAAAACTTTTTTGTTTTACCTCTGTAGTTATTTAGGAGAGTACCTTTAAATTTCCAAGTGGTTGGAATTAAAAAAATATTAATATAAACTTTTTTCTTAAATAATATTAATTTCATTTTTGATTATGAAAGAAATCCAATAGAACCATGCCATAATGTCATAAGTGAGTTCCCAAATATCCAGTCATTAGAAATGAAGGGTTGGATTATTGCGAGGTTAACGAAATGCCTGGCACAAACCTATTTAACTAGCTAATTTGGAGTTCCAGAGACCCCCATGGGAACTATCTAGGTTTGGTACCTTTTAGTATCAGTTTTCCATTCTGGCTTAAACAGCCACGGTGAAGATTTGGGATACTGTGGCTGGATGAGACTTCCTGAGAACAAACAGCAGCTATGGTTTGAATGTTCTGGTTAGTTGGTGTCTATTCCATTGGCCTATCTGGGAACATTGGATTCTGATTTTACCAGAGGTTTGTGGACTTCACCTCTACTTCTCCATTTTCTTAGAGAAGTTTGCCTGCTATTTCTATTAATGGCCTTCCCTTCCCCTTCCTTTCTCCTTGCAGAAGGATTTTGCGCTGTCCCTGTTTGAGAACTGGGGCTAGGCAGAGTGCAGGCATCAACTGTGTTATGTCCCAACTCACATTATTTTAGAAAGAGTCATGGCAGAGGTTTTATTGTATGTTTTTAGGTGAACACAAAGAAAAGGGAAATCGCCTGTTATTTCAACACCCAAAAGATTCATATTCTACTACTGTTCATATTTTGTTACCTTTTCAATATCATATATATGCATATATCTAGTAATCTTGCTATGTATATTTTGACATGGGTAACTTTTTTTTTAACTATATCTGAACTTTCCTCCATGCCATTAGTATTCTTCTGCAACATGATTTTTAGAGCACGGTATTGGAATGTATGTATGTATCCTAATTTATTTATGCTTTCCATTTTTATACTTGTGTTATTTACTGCTTTTAATTTTGATTTATACTATAGCATAAATGATGTTAGAACCTTGTACACATTTCAGATCATTCAGATAAACTCCTAGATATGGAGAGATTGCCTCAAAGAGTATACGAAATTCTAAAATGTAGCTATGACTTGCTCAATAATTTATCACAATAGTTTTTCCAATTTATACCCCTTTATAAGAGGATGATTGTTGATCCAAACTCTTTCCAGAAACATGTATTATAATTGTTTTCCCACTTTTTCTGATTTCATCTTAAAGATGAAAAATCGATGTCTTAACTTGTATTTATTTGTTGACCATTGCGTTTAATTTTAAGATATTTGTTGGCCATTTATATTTTTTCTTTTGTAACTTGGATTTTCATATCCTTGCTTATGTTTTCTTCAAGATATTCTGTTTT